GGATGGCCTCCATGTGCCGCTCGCGCCGCCTTTGCAACCACTGTCAACCACATCATCCTCTGAACCAACTCAGGTCTTTGAGGAGGACTGCCAAGAATCCCATCAATCCTCCCCGTGGCCGCAGCCCATAGAAGTGCCCTGTACATGCCCGCAACCATGTTCATATCCTCGGCCTTGCTGCGGTTGATGTCCACTTGCACCATCACTCTTCCATCATCTAGCTCCCGGAACACAGGATCCAACGCCTTTCCAGGCCCTGAGTAAAGATGGACCACCCAGGGCAACGTCATCATCCTCTTTCGGCGCTGCCTTGATCCCGGCACTGCTCTCAAGTAGCCCCACCCGGCGCGATCTGAAAGGTCAATGTTCTCTGCCAGCAAGGATCGCTCCAAGTCTGTCCACGACACAAAAGGAGACCCCTTCGTAGTCATAGCTGCAAGCTGGGCAGACCGGCCACCAACTTTCACGAAGTCATCAAGATGCCGGGCCCAAGGCTTCTCTTCATCCCAAAGCCACAGGGCCTTCGCTGTTGTCCTCGTCGCATTTTCCAAGGTCCGCAGCTTCCTGGTCTCAATCTCCCGGATCAAGTCGAGAGCTTGTGTCTCGCCCACGACTGGGCAGCGCCCGACCACAGCAGGCGGAATCACCCCGTGTTGGGGATGACGAATCACCAGTCCGCCTCGTCGAGACCATGATATCTGGCACCCTAGCTCTTCCACCAGTGCCCCTAAGGGCACAATAGGAGCCGAGGACGCTGCACCCGTCTTCTTGGCCAAAAGAGTGCCATGCCGACCCTGAGAAAGAACTGCCTCGCGGCCTCCTGNNGATTCTGTACATTGGTTACAGTCAACGACAAAGTCTTCAGCTGGCGTATCTCCTTGAGCATGGCACTGGCCTCCTCCAACAGACTCTTGATCTCCGCCTCAGGCATAGCCGAAGATTGCTCACCCGTAACCGATGGAGCCGATGTGGTGGCTGTAGAAGTCGCGCTTGCTGACGTAGCTGAGGTCTGGGCAGGGCCAGAGATAGCCTTGACTGCAGGGCTCGCCTTAGACTGATCCCCCGCCTTCGAAGTCGGGCTCCCACCATTGACCTTCGTCGGGCATTCATTCTGGTGGTGTTGCGTGGACCCACAAGCCCAGCAGCGGCCCATCTTTTCTTTTCTTGTAAATACATGGGAGAACGTACAGGCCGATCCACGACTGCATCCTTTGTCCGAAAGATAGAACTTGCAAGAGGCTTTAGCCTTGGCCTTTGGTTGCCTTGTTGGGCTCCCAGACTCGCTGCCATTCGCAGCTCCACCAACTTGACCATCAGACCTTCCTCCAGTGGAAGGTGGGGCACCAGCTGCAATCGCCTTCACTGCTGGCGCTGTTGTGCCACTTTGTCGCCCACGATAGGCGACCTGCTCCAGCTCCGACAAAAGAGCCTGCTGTAAGCTCTTGGCACCATGCAGCGTTGGGCGAGTGTCCACCTCAAGAGTGTACCTCAACATTGAGATCCGGAAATTTATATCGGCGTGCTCTCCCAGGATCTTCTTCACAATGGAGTCGAGGCCCTTGATCATCACACTGGGGTCTGGGCATTGAATGCCGATGTCTGTTGCTCTCGCAACCCAGCGGGCCCAACGACGAAGTTCCTGAACCGCCTCAGAAGCGGTAGTCGCAGTGGTCGGCACCTCGAGCGCCCTCAGAATCTGCTGTCGCTCTGCAACTGACCCTGGGCGGTAAAGCACAACCACCCTGCAAAGCATCGCCAACGTCCCAACCACACGGCTAGACAAAAGCTCTGTCTTCACGCTCTCGGGAAGGCTGGCGAGAATCATCGACGACGCTCTCTTGTCCACACGGAGCCACCGATCGTCCCTAAGCAAAGTCGTCTCGTAGTCCTCGGCCTTCAGGGAGAGCTTGCCAACATGAGAGGCAGCAAGATAGGCCTCGTAGTACTTTGAAAGACACGTTAGTACCTCGCTCCACCACTGACTGCTGGAGTTGCTGAGGTCACCCATGTGGTTCTGCAGACCATGCAACCAGTCACCGACATCAATGGCAGAGTTTGTACTGAGTTCTGGTAGTCGCGGAAGCTCAGCCAAGCCCGGCTTGACCACTTCCACATCCTTTGACTTAAGCGACAACGTCTGAGACATTGCCGTTTGCAGCTGCGCCATCCCCTGTACCAAAGCTCCCATGGGATCTTGCAAAGGATTTCCGACAGGTAGTCCAAGGGCTCCGCTTGGCACAGTAGCCGCTGCTGGGCGCTGCTGTGGGGCACCAGTAACATTAGCTCCACCGCATCCGGCATCTGCAGGCCTGGGAGCAGCCCCAGAATGTCCTGCACGTACACCAAGTGGATCACCGCCAAGTACATTAAAACCCCGTTCTTCACCTAGCAGACACCCTCGAGGAACACCTGGAGGCTCATGCACAACAGGGACTGGTTTCGGTACAGAAGGATAGCCGCCGACCGCGTCAGGGGCTTGAGGTAGTCCGCCAGGAATGCCGCCGCAGCCACCTTGATGACCGCTTCCCTGGGGTCCTTGCGAAGTTCCACCTACATCATTCCTTCCCGTATCTCCCAAGCCTCTTGTATGCATTTGGTTGAGAACCTTCTCCAGCATGTCCTTCAGCTGCTGGTTCTCCTGAGCCAGGTGTTGACGTTCTTCTTCATGCGTTCGCATCTCATACTTCACTTGCTTCTGCACCTCAACCAGAACTTGTTCTTGAGTCAAAGATCCATTCGAGGAGCCCTCTTGAGGAGGGGCTCTTTGTTCCGGTGTATAGAGGTGAGGTGCCCTTCTCGTCCATTGGGTCATGGCCTGCTCAGCCTCAGTAGAGAAGAGCCTTTGAGATCTCGGAGGCGTAGTCAAGACTTGCCTAGTAGATCGCCGCTGCCCTGACTCCAAGATCGGCGTCATAGCTGCGCCTGCCTGGGCAACCCTTCGCTGAACGAACTCCCCGATCTTAGCAAACCAAAAGGTCTGGTTGCTCGTCTCGGTACTCATCGAATCCGGGAGCTCTTCTGGTGGCGAGAACTCAAAACCACCAGTCTCAACCCTTGAAGGCATCGCCGAAATGACAGGCACACTCTGCGCTGAGCCCTGAGGAACATCTGAAGACGGACGGGCACCCGAAGCAACATCTTTATCCGCCACAGTAGACGCACCCAGAAAATCCAGTGCTCCCGTAGCGGTCATAGACCCCGAAGGCTGAGGCAGAGTCCTGTCCTCGGCCGCCGTCGTAGGTGTCGGCTCAGGACCTGTGCCATTCATCACCACTGGGTCGGGTTCCTGGACAGCATCATCTCGAGCTAAACCAGGAGGAGCTTGCGTCGTGTCATAGTTCGGGCCACTTACTTCCCCGTCCAGCGTAGCGGTACGGGTTGGGCTCATACCCTGAAGATCATTCGGGATCATGGTCTTGTTCTTGGGGCGGAGGATCAGGGCTTAAGGGCCATGGCAACGCACGCAGCTCAAAAGGCTTTTCGCTTCACCGAACGTGTACTGTAACAGCCTGGCTTCTGGGATGTACAAGTCGAAGCATCCAGCTGGTAACAAGTTTAGCTGACGAGTCTTTACAAGTAAAGTCAGCTTCAGTTCGAAGGCATCTCGCACTTCTCTTGGCTCAGTCATCAGACTTGACACAAACGGGCACCCGCATACATAAGAGGCACAGCATCAACAGAGTTCTTTTGGGGTTCCTTGAAGGGTTCAAGCACGATTCGAGGCAGTGAGGTTCCGCTTAGGGAAACAGCTTCTGTGAGGGCTCCCTTTAACCCTAAACCCCTAAACCGCCAAACCCCCAAACCCCTAAACCCTAACTCAAGTTAAGGTTCCTTGTGGGGTCTGTAGGTTCTCAGAGCCAAGGGGCTTCAGTTTTAATTGGGCAGGGTGTTCTAGGGATTCTAGGGGTTTTGAGGGGACTATACGGGTTCTAGATGGAGCCCATAGTTGTGGGTTCTAGACAGAGTCCAGAAGGGTTCTAAAAAGGATTCCATAAGGGTTTAGGGCTTCGGCATGCTAGGCTCACAAAATGTTAAGAAGAGAGTTTATAGGGGTTATTATAGGGCTTCTGTCAGATAGGGCCCTGAGTAGATGGACTAGAGCTTCGGATGTGTATGTACATGGCGAGTATGAGGGGGGGATATCGGCATCACTTGTTCCGGACCGTATGCTACCAGGGTTTTGGGCTTGATACGGTGCCTCCGGGTCATAGGATGCAGGATTGTGGTTTTGTAGATTCTTGATGGGACGTACAGTATGGGGGCCTAGATAATGACCTATACGTTTTTTTTTTTGTTGGGGGGGTCCTTATCATAGTTATTGTACAATGCGCCCCTAAACCCGTTTCTAATTGCTAAGGCCCCTATATTAAGGGCTTTAGAGGGGGTCTCTTCGCTATTTGGTTGTTCAGGGTGTTCTAGGGGTTCCTGACACAGGGGTCTGGCTGCTGGTTGGGCGGCGTCTTGTTTTTTGAAAAGATGCTGTCAAAACAAACATTGCCTTGGCCGTGCCCTGCCTAAGTCGGAAATTGAACGCGACCCTTGACACAGACTCCGGCTTGACATCAAAGCTGACACTCGATGTAGGAACTCCTTCACTTGATGTTTACCCTATAAGTTTTTAAACCTGAAGCCCTCAAACCCTAGCCTCAAAACCTGTTGTTTACTGTATACCTGAACAACCCGAGACCAGAAAAGCCTTAAGCCGTGACACCCTGAACCCACGGTTTCAAGTATGGGCCCCAAATATGGAGCCTTAGGCCTTTCTAGGGACTACTAGGGACCCTTAAGGATGCATATAGGGGCCCATGGGTTCAACCTTATAGACTGAACCCTAAACCCTTGACCCTAAACCCCTAAGCTCTAAACCCTAAACCCCTAAACCCTTAACCCTAGAAGTCAGTCATCCCTTCGGGCGAGGCTTGCTTCGCAGCAGCCCAATCTCTGCTTCGTGGCTTTGGAGTCCACATAATATCGGGGGGGTTTAGGGATTAGGGATTAGGGTTTAGGGTTTAGATAATGCTGCTAGGGCCTGCTTGCTCCAACTCCGGGCGAAGTGGAAAGCCTGTTGCAAAAAAGGGTTTAGATAATATCGGGGGCCTGAATGGATACCAATACTTGGAGGTTCAGGGGTAGTTATAAATGGGTTTATAACTAGGGTAAGTATAGTTATGACTATTATGACCCAAATTTAGGGGACTTAAACCATAGTAGTAAGTATTGATTGTAAAATCCTTAAGCCCTAAGCCCTAAACCCTAGGGGACCCTGAATTAGAGCTACCCAAATCAAGGCCCCGTTCTATTTATTAAGGCGCGTATAGCAACTGAACCCTTCACGGCAGTGGAGAAGTCGCAGGTGCCCCTTCTGCGAGCCTGCAGGATTGTGTCGCAGTGTGAGTTTGGGACTTCTTGGGTTTAGGGTTTCTAAACCCTAAACCCTGACGTCCAAAGAAACCGTACGAATTATACAACCCTACGCAAACCCATCGAAACAAGATTTTTAAAAAAACGTATGAGATGCTGCGAAAACCACAAGCACCCTCTGAAAATGGGTTAAAGTGCCCACCACATCCAAAACCCTAAAAACTTTAGAACTAGAAAACCCCTCACCTTCAAACCCCTGAAGCCCTACACAGCCCACCTCACTTCCATCAGCCGAGGCTCGATGCCGAGGAGCCGAGCTTCCCGGATCTGATCGATCCCGAAGCCCGGGGGCCTTGCGGGCGCTGAGTTCTTTAATTCCCAATCCCCAACCTTCAAACTTTTGGGGTTCTTATTATAGTCTAATAGTAATCACACCGCAGTTCCCCAATCCCCAACCTTCAAATTTTTTGAGTTCTTATTATAGTTCAATAGTAATCGGAAAGTTTAAACCTTTTGGTTCTGTGGCTTATTGGGGAGGTAAGTTAGGGGCGTAGGTTTTCGGGGCTTAAGGGTTTGGTTTAATTTTCTGTGCCTCAGTGTGTTTTTGGGTGACGTGACTTGTGCCATGTGCAGGAGGGATTTTCGGTGTTGCTAGTTCTTCCTGATGTCTATGGGTTGAGTTATTAAGAGTCCGGAAATTTATAACGCAGGGATGTGGGATTTCAGGATTTGGGTTGGCCAGTGAAATCCGAAACCGTATTCAAACTGAGGCATCCCTGGTTCGACAGACATTGGGGCGACAGCAAAAGTGTCCGGTGGCATTTTTGTAACACAAACTAAGAAGATTAAGGGGTGTTAGGAGCAACGCCCATGACATGAGGAGTTGGGAATACTTGGTTGAGGGGGTGCCGAGTTTACGGTTTTGGATGTGTGTGACGATCGGGTTTCCGATTGTCGGCTCTCCAAAGCTCAGGTGCAAAAACTAGGCGAATGGGCCGTAAACCCTGAAACCCTGTAACCGTTGTGCGGGACGGCTTGCGAACATGACCCAGGCCTTTTTGCCTCCAAGTGCTGATGAACCTCTCATCCTCTAAGCTTGGCTTCCTTTCCAGTCTGCGGTCATGTTTGAAGTACCATTACCACCAACACACAGACATCATGATACCCCAAATAACCATAATAACAATAATAGCCATAATAACCAAAATGAACACGCCTTATGCAGTAGACTCACCCCAAAAACCGATGGCTCGAAAGGGGGAGCCTGAACAGTTCGCAGTGGCCGTAGCTATCCTTTACATGTTGTTCCTACATGCTATGCTGATGTCCTGCATGTTATGCTGATGCCTATCCCCAACACCTGTAATGAGAGCCAAACTCGATTGAAAGAGACGTGATAGAGCCTCTGTTGCTCCCCGTGCCTGGGACTTAAGTCAGTCCTTCTCAAACCCCAAAGAAGAGTCTCTAGTTCCTAACACCTCCGCTGCAGGTCACGGACTAGCTGACAAATGTCAGACCTTCTTCGTGGGAGCTCCTGAGCGATACAGCATGTCGGTGCATGGCACTGTAATAAAGACTGGTGCCCCCCCCCAGTGGAACCTTCCTACTTCGATGAAGGTTTAGGGGAATGGTAGGGGAGCAAGGGTAGGCCGGGCCTAGAAAAGTACTGGACTTCAACCCGAATCTTGAAGACTAATATAAGGGCTTAAATTTTACCTGTACTATTTTGGGGGGGTTCCTTATTATCATTCTAGTATAATGTACCCCACAACCCTTTGAAAATCATCAAAGCCCCTACATTAGCTATAATCCCCTTAGGCCGGGAGGCAGGCCGGGTAGCTTGTTGAATCAGTGCATGCGTCGATGCTCCAAGTCACCAGTAGCATATTGGGTTGTTTGGTCTCATTAAAAACTTTCGAAGGCAAAACGAGCCGGTACGAATAAATCAGTGTGAAATATACATGTTGCTATGGGGTTTCGTGCGGGTCTAAATGATGCTGCTGCTGCGGCGAGCTAGAGCTGGAGTTATGGCTCCTAAGTCCATTTCTGCTACCACGACTACGACTGTTTCCACGGCAGGCTAGGAAACCACGAAGCCACTTGCTTTCATGTCGTAGGTTCTGGTGTTGTTCATACCCCACTAAAATCTAGGTGCCCTTTCAATCCCGATGCTCGTGTTTCGACATGCAAAGTGGAAGCAATGCAGAACTTCCAGCTTGCGCCGTAGGCCCAGCCGAGGGTCTTCAACTACAGCGTGCGACAGACCTTCGGCTAAAAGCCCGCACCTGTTTCGCAGGAATCGACTACTGACTACTGTGCTTTTTATAGCTACTACAAATAATGCTCACTGCTCTTGTCTTATCAACCTCCAAACCTTGGTCTGGCCCCTATCAGATTAGCCCTCAAAGGACGCAGGAGCCTCAGATTTCTCAGCGAAGAACCCAAGTTCAGCCACACGTCCCAGGGCTTAAGATTGACATTCGTAACCATGTTTTTTCAGGCGAAGGCGGGGCTTCTTTTGTTGAACTTCGCCCGAAACGGCCTTTCGAGCACCGCGAGCCGATTCTGCCTCGTCAGCATGGGCCGATCCCTCTGACTTCTGACTTTGTCTTTCTGCTCAAGCTCCGGGCGCGAAGCCAAACTTTACGTCGGTAACCTGACACACGACCAAGTTGACACTGAAGCCCGAAGACCTTATGCTAAAGGCTGCGCTCTTACGCCCAACCGAAAACCGCTTCCCGGATGTCGCGAGACGGGAAAGGGACATTTAAAAAGAAATTTGAAGCATGAGCTTATAGCTAAATGGGTTACAAGGACATAAGGACAAACCAAGTAAAACACTCTGCTGCTGGTCCGCAACCATATCCTGCTTTGACCGACTTACTTAGCAAACTGATTCCTCAACCCTGAACCCTTAACCCTCTGTCCTGCGCCCCTCCTTTCGGAGGGTGTTCCTCGGGAATGCCATGGGCAAGAGGGGAGGTGCTGGAACAGAATACAAGGACGTGGGGTCCCGATTTGCCCCCC